ATTCACACTTTTCTTCTTGGTGTCATCTATTCTTCAACAAAGAAAAGGGCCTGGTCAGCCTTGGTACTTTTTAAGTGCTTACAGAGCCATCATCTGGATTGCTCTTCCTGGAGATGGTATGTGTGAGGGTTTGCCTTCCCAGCTCAGTCCTGTCCTGCTGCCCTCTCCATCTGCCTCTCCTGCATTTTCCTGCCCTCATCTGGCAGTCTTCTCTAACCTCTGCACAGAGACATGTTCTCATCTCTCTGTGTAATTTCAGCAACAAACATCAGTTCAGCCTTATCCTTCCTGTAGTCAATTAACAGATTCACTTCTCATCTGTAGTACTTAAATCTATCTACTTTGCCCAGCCTAAACTTTTGCTCTGAGTATTTTGCCTTTTTAAAAAATAAAATATTACAAACAACTCAGGCTTATTATAACTGAAGAAGAGATCTTATTCTTGTGTTACTCCTCAGCTCTTTTATCTGCTTTTTTCAAGCTTTACAGAAGTTGCCACACTCCTGACTCTTACTGATAGTCAGAGCCTCAGCACTGTCTTCAGGCAAGCTTTTGTAAAGCCTTACATCCAGGTTCTGACCAGGGACTCCTAAGTTGAGGTGTTCAGCTGTGTTGCTAAGAACGCCCCACTGCAGGTCACTGTCTGGCATTCTTGCAGAGGTTGCTGTCTCTGTGCATCCTGTTGGACAGGACATATCTCTGCTCCTCAGATACAGCACTGCAAGGGATAGAGAGAAAATGCACATCCCAGCTGAGCAGAGACACAGAGGAAATGCCAGTGTCTCTCTCTCTCAGCCCATCCTCCTAAATGCCCTCAAACACACCAGTACTGTGAGTTTGCACGATATTGTGAGTTGCAGATCCAACTTTCCTCTATGCCATCCCCAGGACACAGCCTTTCTCCTTTCCTTTCTGTGCTGAAGCTTTGAAGTTATCTCTTCTGTCCCTGGCAAACAAAGTCTTGCTGTGCATGTATTTATTAAAAATTTTACTTGTTGCACCTGTTTTCCTGCCCTTTGTTCTTGCTGTCATTTTTTGCATCTCTTCCCCTCATTCCACTTTTCTTTATGAAATGAAAAATCAGCTTCTTCACTTTGAGGGCTTGACAAAATGAACCACTTCCTTCCCACCACTTGTCAGGTTTGAAAGATGTATCCATTGCAGATCATCCTGCAAACAACTCCAGCTTCTGTTGTCCAAGTTTTATACTGGGTAGAGGGAGGTTTCTCACAGATGCTGTAAAACCGCACTTGTTGTCTCATATCTCTTACTGTAAAGACAACTTAGACAAATTTGCATTTCAGGTTAAAAAAACAAATAGGACTGGTATTATCCCCTTTCATATGCATGTGGTTTGCCTGCACCTGCCTCTTGTGTTGTAAATGGAAAATCTTACACTGTGCACAAACCTACTCGCTTGATACATCTTGTCACCTCTAAAATAGCACAGATGAAAGTAAGTTATGTTTTGGCTTTGACTTCTTTTGGAGTCTTGGATAGGAATGCTAGATCCGACCGGCTGGCTGAGATCCACCTTGTAGATATTTCCCTAATTCACTAAAGTTTAACCCAAAATGCTCCTTAATTTGGATTTAGCACTCTAGAATTAACCCTTTGCATTTCTATCATTGAATGCCCCAACTCTTGCAAAGTTATAGTCTCTTCCTTTGGAGGATCAAAGCTTTGCTTTGGCTTCTTGGTCATCCTGCCATGCAAACATGAGTACTTTACTGTGGTGACAGCAATCTGACAGGGTCATTGCCATCCTACAGGCCCAGGGAGAGCTGGCTGTAGACTGGAGATGTATTATTACTTACTCCCTCAAGAACAGCAAACATGTTTTTAAAGGCAGTGAAGATTTGCATTAATTTATGGTTCTCCTGTGCACGTGCCCTGGGTCAGGCTGCATGTGAGAAAACAAGGTTTGCACCCCCTTTCTAGTTTCCACTGGTGTTAAGCTAATGTTTATTTTTAGTAAACTGTATTTCAAGTTGTGCTTTTAAGAATCCTTTTGCAAAGCCTAGCATAACAATTTCAATATGCTTTCTTCTTCTGAGCTTATTATTAATGAATATAAATGATCAGTGTAACTAGTTATGCTGTGTTTCACTGATAATTTTCAAAAGTATGGATCCAGCTCAAGAAATGGTAAGATTTGCAAGCATTCATCTCAGTTGATTTTTTTTCTCCCTGTGCTATTACTAACTACCCAGCTTTGGAAAGGCTGTGTGGAGACTCCTTCAAGGGCAGGCCTTTTCTGCTTCGCTTGTGTGGGTGTCCCTGTCCCTACACCCACATATGGTTTCCTTTTCTTCCTTCTCAAAATCCTTCCCTTTAAGTGCTTATCCATTAAGGCCACCTGCCAGATAAAGCACTCTCAGCCTCTTCTGATAAAGTAATAATTCTGAAACACTCTTCTCCATTCATAGTGTGGTGCTTGCCATGCCTGCTTGTTTCGCTTTCACTTGCCTGCAGCACAGGTACCTCTGTCCCCATCCCAGGCCTCTCCTTCTCCCCAGGCAGATAAGGTTATGTCATTTCCATTTGCTACTGCATGTTAATCTTTGGCCTCTGTTTTAAAGTCTTGTTTTATTTTTCTTTCAATTCTGAATGATACTTATTTCACATGCTATAAGAAATTTATCTTTAATACCTTGCAGTCAGTTTTCAATCTGAAATGTTTTTTTCCTATATTCTCATGAGTGCCTATTGAGGTATTTTCAACTGGAAAAAATGTATTAAAGAAAAAATAAATTCAGACATTTCTTGCAGAATTTAAGAAATCCCATGCCTTCAAGATTATGTGTAATGTTTGCAGAGCATGTGCACTTCTGGTGAAAACCCCTAACAGGCTTTGAGCTGTATTTTCCTAAGCTGAGAACTCACAGCGTTGCCTTGTGTGTGCTATACAGGATGTTGGTCAGACCTTGAGATCTGGGAGAGCAGGGACATCTAAGGCACAGGGAAGGAGTGTGCCAGCTTTGGGGAAATACTCTGCTTTACCAAAGGGCCCCTAAAAGGATGCACTTAGGAGTGGGACACTGAAGACAGAGCAGTGCAGTTGTGTTGTGGTGTGGTTCATATTAGCATCTTCTTCACCTTGGCTCGCTTAAAGGTTTCAGAAGATCCAGTCCATGACCTTGCAGCTCAGGGGAGCAAGTGGTACTTTACCACTTTTGCTATGGTCTTGGCAGGGCTTATGATATTCTGGGAATGCTGGGTTCAGGGTTCAAACCTGGTGCTGAGTGAAATAGTTCAAACAGCATCTGTAACCAGGCATGAATGGAGAGATGAAGTCAAACCTAAGGAGTGAGCAGCTGCTGTTCTTTGGGACCCCCAGCATGGAAGCTGGAAAGCTGTACAGGGTTCTGTGGTGCTCCTCTGGGCTTGCAGCCCTTCAGCACAGAGGCTGTTTTCAGACAGGCATGATCTTGCTCTTGTGACTTTTGTCACAAGGTAGCAGTTTCAAAGGGGAGACAGTAGAGAACATACCTAGTTTCCGAAAAATCTAGTGATGCTGGAAGGGGTTCAACCTCCTGTTCTTTGGGCATGTGACAGTCTTTAATTGAGAGGCAGTACCTCTCTTTTAGGCAGTTTTAGGCAGTACCCTGAGAATATTCTGTCCATGGGCCTGCTGCAGCTTGTATTGTCTTCTGACCTCCTACTCTGGTCTGTGGGTAAAGCCAGGGTGCTCCCCCACAGGTCAGCAGTGACCTTTCCAAAGGAAAAAGGTCAGGCTCATGTGAGCTTCTACATCCTGACCTTCCCCTGTGAAGGTCCCCTTTCGTGCAGTCTGTTCTTCCCAAAGGTTTCCCTCTGTGACTTGCCTGCTCAGGTTAACTTCCACTTTTCCTCAGTACTCTGCACCTTATTTCTCCATCTGCATGTGTGAGGAACAGAAGTAAGCTGACATATTCCACATCACTTTTAGCATCAAAAATCTCCCAGTTGATTCATATGTCACATAAAGCATTAATGGAAGTGTTTAAATGTAACAGCCCTGCTGTATGACCTACCTGCTCTGTTCTGAAGGAAGAGTGCTGTTGCTGAAAATGGGAGGAAAAAAATTCCATCAAGGAGATGAGAAGGCCAGAGTGACAGCTGCTGAAGTTGAATTATAATGCTCTCATCAGAAGCCAGCATTTTAAGTTCTGCTGATAGTTAATCACACTCAGTCTGAGGATGTGCTGTTACAGCTTTGTGTAGCTACAAGCTAAGACTACCCAAAAGGTTGTAAGGAAGAGGGTCTGGACTTTTTATCGCACGATCAAGTGTTACATTAGAGGTGTAAGTATTATTTTATAGTAGCTATAGAAATACATAGCAGTGAACAGTTAATTTGTGTGAAGAATATAGATACTTAGTTTCTATAGTTTGTGTATGTAGAGTACAGTTTAGTCATGCATCTCTACAGCACAAACTGGCACATTCTTAAGATCATATTTGCTTTTGTAGCGTCCTTCAATCTGTCACAGAATAGTCCTGTATTCTGTTGGTACTCTGTTTCCAAATTTAAGAGTATATCCTCCCAAACATGTGTGCATGCTGTAGTGTGTATGTGCACACAAGGAATAGGAAGCAGATGACTTGTGTTCAGCAGAGAAGTTGTTTTGATCTGGAGCTGCTGCAGGCTCCCTCTTATAAAGAAACATGCCTGTCCATTTGTTCAGAAACAAAACTGCTGTCGTGGCTGTGCTGATCCTGTGTCAAGTCTTTCTGTAGAGTCTTGAGTGGAGAAAGATGTAATTTCTTCCATCCTTCACAGCCTTTCTCCCTCTTACCTTTCCCCACTGTAATCATGATATGCTGATCAATGCCTTCATGACATGTGGGATCTCAACTGAGGTTCTTATCAGTGGAGGAGAGATCCAGGTGAGTCAGTGCTGAGTGGTGCTTGTGTATAAATTAGCAATGTGTGTGCCTGAGCTGGCACATGGTGTGGGTGGATAGGGCATTCAGAGTCACGTGGAGGCAAAGATCAATGGAGCTGCTGTTGCAAAGGAGGTGTGAGAGAAATGGTCAAGTTGTGTAAGAGTCCTCTGGAAGGGGAAGATTGTTCCCTAGGTGTGACACTTTAATACAGCAACTTCACAAGGGCTTTGATCCAATTTTGGAACCAATTCATTTATACCCTCCTGGTCTGTGGCCTCAAGATGACCTGTGATTTCAGTGCTGAGGTGCAGTCCTAATATCATGCTCTGTGCTGTTGGATTGTCCAAACAGGAATTTTCAGTATCCTTGCAGCCTTTTATTGCTGAAGATGCTCTGAAATCCCTCAGCAGTTTACAATTTAAGGATTTGGCTAATTTTTTTTTCTATCTGAAGTATGTCTGCTTTTTTTTCTTTCATTGAAAATTATCTGTATTACTCACAGTAGATTTGAAACCCTTTTTTCTCCATTCTGCTTTCAGATTCCATTGGTGGGTCATTTTCGACTTCCTCCCATAGATGCCACCACAAGCAGAAGCACTGTCTCCCCATCCCACAATGTGGAACTCTATCCATCAGCCCTCTGCTTTTCCATCCTCACACGAAGGGGTCCCAGATTATCATGGACACAACACAGAAGGCGGTGAAGCGCCAGGCTAGCTTCTGCAATGCCATTACCTTCAGCAACAGGCCCATTGTTATTTATGAACAAGTCAGGCTTAAGGTGAGTAAATGATACCTTCCCTTTTTGCCATGGGAGCTGCTGGGAATGAATGCTGGGGTGTATCGGGCTTTGGTGCTTGCGGCAGATCTTTAGCTCTTCCTTGAAAAGCACAGTAGTCAGATCTTGGCCTTGAAGATCTGCAACCTTCATTGGTACTTCTGCTTTTGTCACTGTAGTTCTTGGAGCCATAGGGGCATATTGCTGTAGAAACAGAACAAAAGGGAAATCTACCTTCCAAAAATGCTTCTGTTGATGTTAGTCAAGTACAACAGACTAAATTGAGATTGCTTGGAAAGCCAGGAGATAAGAGGTCAAAAAGGAACTAGAAGTGAAGGTTCTTGCTCACATGCTTGGCAGGAAAAACAAAAGAGTTTGGAGGAAAGGATGAAAGGAGCAGTCAGTGTGATCACTGTTGCTGTTTAAGAAAAGGACCTTTCTGGCAGTCTGCTGACTGCTTTGTTCAGTCACCTGGTAGCATTAAGATCAGAGGAGAGAACATTGCAGGGATCACATTTTTTTCACTGATACAGGCTGATTTCCCTTTCTTTGTGTCTGTGGTAGTCTGGAGGATGGAGTTTGTACCTCTGGTACCATGCCATGCTGCAGCTGGCATGGGATATCCAGCTCCTCTAAGATAACATGCCTCCATGAACACCAGGAGCTGCTTTCTGATGGAGAAACTCCTCCATGTCCTTAGGAACTGAAACACTTTTCAGATTATCTGCACCTTAAGGAGCTTGGGATCCTTGAAACTTCATCTACAGATACTTTCCAATCTTTATGCCCTCTATCTTATGGGACTGCTTTTTTCTGTTCATAGCCGATTGCACGTCTTTATTGGCATGAAATAGGTCATCTTCTTTGGCCACTTTAGTTCATGGCACACATGAATGATCTGACTACAAATCCTTCACTTGTGCAGAAGGAGTTTTCCAGAAGGTTTGTCAGCACCTAGATACTCAGATAGAATGATCTTGCTGTTGTTGCCCATTTCTAGAGGTCCTGGAGTGCTGAGTCCTACAGCAGCGTATCAGCCTTCCCTGCCTCTTCCCTCACAGCCAGCAAAGGAGCAAGGAATGAGGGACATGCCTGCTTTGGGAAATACAAGGAGATTTCAGTGATTTCAGGCTCAGGCCAAGAGACAGAAAATCCCCACTACAAGTTTGTTGTGCTTCCTATGGAGCTCTTACTGCTTCTATCCAGTCTGGAAGCCCAGCAGGAATCTCTTACATTGCCCAAAGAGATTTTTCCCATGTTGGCCAGCACTTTGGACAAGCGACTGCGACAAATAATCTGGGAGGAGGTGAAAGCAGCATTTTACTTTTGAAGACACTATCAAAGATTTGAGTGGATTTAGTGGTTTAGGAAAAAGTTCTGGGTTATTTCTTCTTCATTTTGAAACAAGGTAGCTACCTTTGGAAATTAACACTTGTTTATCTCTGTGTATTTGGGGATTTTATCTTGCATAACGTATGTGACAGATACGCATGCAAATCTGCACAAGAGATTTATGAGCAGAGCTCCTGCTGACTCCAATGGGAAGGTCTCATGGGAATAATCAACAGGCTTTAGCAGACCTTGTGCTCTAGGGAGGGATGAAATGTGAAAACATCCTTGCTTTTGTATAAGTCCATCCTGTAACTGCCTCGCTATTGTTTGTGCTTGTGGAAAGCAGCATCTTAGACCTTCTTACCAGCCACAGACTAACCATGAACCCAGTCATTCAGGTCCTATAAAGTCTAAACTCCCTCTGGAAAATTGAGGAATGCAGTAAGGAGTTTTCATTTGGTTTATTAGCTATTGTATCTCAGGTTTTATTCTGACATTATTTTGCAGCCCTGGGAATGTGGGAATATGGCTGTCAAGCAGCCTCAGGGACAAGTGCTCCAGTATGATTTCTTCCATGTAGTTTGGGGCAATGCTAGGAAGTATAGTTCTCAAAGATGGCATAAGGCAGTAAAGATCAGGAGCCTGAATGGCTTTTATATCATCTACCTGAAAGCAGCCATGGTTTAGCAGTTTGGATGTTGATTCTGTGTTTTCCTCCCCTTCTGGTACCCGGTGGACCTCCCAAGCTTTTCTACTAGGAGTGGCTGCTGAAAGGAGAATTTGGTCCATCATTAACTGTTGCCTTTTTTAGCAAAACTGTGTATCTTTTGTCCAGCTGTGTCTAATTCTTGGCAGGCTTTATACGTGATTTTAATTTGGATATTAGTTTGCCTGTGGTCAGACTGTATTGAGAACTGTTTATAGGTGCTGATTAATACATGGAACATGTGCAGCCTCAATTACCATATGAATATTTACTTCATGCTGCCTGTGATTGCTGTGAAGTATTGGCAAGAGACTGAATTGTACAAATGACAATGAGGCCATATTTATCTTAGACCCAAAAGCTTTTAGGGCTTGAAGTAAATTTGCTGCAAAAAATAACCCAGGCTTCTTCTTGGAGCGTGTGTATTGTGTTTCCCTGTTTTGTAGTGTGTGTACCCTGTTAACCCCACTTCTACTGGGGACACACATATAAGTAAAATAGCAAATGTGCTTCAGACCTTTTTAGTGTCATGCCAGTGTCCACCCTGCAAGCAGGAGCTTCCCATGGTTCCTGGGACTGAGGTCAGTGCTCAAATGTTTCATGTAAACAGTTAAGGTGCCTGGATGGACTGAGAAGGGAGGGATAAAGAGCAGCACCTGTTCCTTAACTGAAAAATTGTCCATTGATAACTTTTTTCTGAGCTCTGAGTTATTGTTTCTGATACTTTAATTATAAAATAGAAATCTCTAGGCTTTGAACAATGTCTTTGCTGTAAGATTATTGTGACCCCAAGGGTGCATGTTCCAGATTTGCCTTGGAGAGGAATATGTAAAAGAAAAGCACAGTATTTACAAATTTGATTAGCAGGGAATTCAGAAGTCCAAGAAAACATCTTGTAGAATTCTTTAGTGAAAATTCTATTCTTCCAAGCTGGTACCATATGTGATGCTGCTGCCAGGCTTTTGAGAACAAAGTCCTGCAGTCCTGGACAGTTCAGTCTCTGTCATTGCCATACATCCAAGCCATTATGGTTGGTGGTACCTATCCATGTTTCTGCTCTTGTTCTGTGTCCAGCAGTGGAATTGCTTGAGGCTGCCGAGGCATTGATGGAAGACAACTATCTCAAGTGCTCTTGTGTTTGCTGCAGGTTCAAAGTGTGAACAGATAGCATGATTGTGTGTCAACTGGCATGCAGGAAGTGTCTTGGCTCCACATCAGGGTTAGATCCAGCATTCTTAGATCTTTCATGTCAAAGTCTGGACAGCTGGCAGGCTGAACCCCTTTGAGAGGAACAATTCCTAGCAGGTTCATACTGAAAGAATAAAATGAGAGTAAAAACTTCACCAAGGACGTCATCTGAGGACCATACTAACTCTGGAAGACTCCTTGCTTCCATGGGAAAAAAAAGAGACCTTATAACTGAGTAGTGTTTTCAATGTGCTACATGTGTTTAGGAGCTGCTGCCTGCTTCCCACAGATCCCCTACTGCCCAGGGCTCAGCTCTTGTGAGTAGAAGCTGATGACTCCGGAGGTATCTGTGATCCTTTGTCCTGCTGTCTGTCATGTGCAGAAGGATGGGTATGACACATGACCATTCCAAAAACCATAGCACTGAGTAATTGCATACTGACAGGTCAAGTGTAGTTATGCACAGCATACTTTGCAAAACACCATTCACAGCTGAAATAAGTAGGTTTTCCCAATCATAAGAGAACATCTATTGTTGCTTCAAAATTTTGTATTTAACAAAGTCAAATACTCTATATTGTGCTTTCCCACACTGCTGCAAGGCTGTGATTTCAATATGTCATCCAATATGAGAAGTTAAACAAGGGAAAGACTGTCTTTTACTTGCCTGAGAAACCCAGAAAACTGTGTGGTGGTAACTGTGATTCTGGAGCTTTTCTCTCAGGTCATGAGAGACCCCAACACCTGAGCACAATGTGAGAAGAGCTCTGCTGAGATAAAAGGTCTTGTGGCCATTTTGGGCACATTTTGTGAACGGGTTATTCTTAGGTCAAAAGGAATTACCCTAGAAATAGAAATGAATCATCGTGCAGCTGTAATTAAATTTCACCTATCCACATAGATTTAATTTGATTTATTTGGTTTTAAATATGGGCACTGTATCCTAAGTGTGCAGCAACATTGCTGTGTGCAGCTGAAAAAGCTACAGCAGTGTTTGGTGAGTAAAATGTTTCCTAAATCTGGTGGGGTTTTCTGCTCACTGGCCACCAGTGTTCAATGCATAAAGCCTTTAGTGTGTAAGCTGATGTTCAAGTGTCCAGTGCTGTCATTGCTGCTGTTGTCTTTGCAGATCACTAAAAAGCAGTGTTGCTGGAGTGGGGCTCTTCGACTCGGCTTCACTTCCAAGGATCCATCGAGGATTAACCCTGACACTCTGCCAAAGTACGCGTGCCCTGACTTGGTTTCCCAAAGCGGGTTTTGGGCCAAAGCTCTGCCAGAAGAGTTTGCAAATGAAGGAAACATCATAGCCTTCTGGGTGGACAAGAAGGGACGGGTTTTCTACCGGGTGAATGACTCTGCTGCAATGCTCTTCTTCAGCGGTGTGAGGACGGCAGAGCCCCTCTGGGCCTTGATCGATGTCTATGGGCTCACCCGCGGAGTGCAGCTCTTAGGTGAGTACCTAGGTCCAAGCCATCCCTGACAAAGGGCCAGCCTGACACTGCCTGTCCCCTCTCTGTGCTGGGACAAGTACAAGGAAACAGCTGTCGTTCCTCCCCAGAGCATCTCAGGACCTCAGCCTGTATCAGTGGGTGTTTGACACTTAGCATGTATATACAACATCAGTGGGAGGTGGGAAACAGCTGCTACAATATAGCACTAGAAGCCCTCTCTGAGTAAGTAGATTTCTGCTCAGAGGTGTAGCTCTATCAGAGAATAGCCCGGAGTGTGTCATGTACCTTGTAAGACTTGATTTTTTATATCATCTTGTGCTTTCCCTGTGCCACTGTGGGGAAGTGCATTTTATGTGCTATGGTTAAGTCCTTCCTGGTTGGCAGTATTTTGATTTTCTGTCAGGTTTAATGGACAGGTTTGAAACATGGCCATCTTCCAAATTATCTGAGAGAATCTGTGGCTGGTTTTTCCAGGATGTTGCTTTCACAGAGGAGTTTGATTTGCTCTCTGGAGCCTGACGTTTGGATATACAGTTGGGATTGGAGGATGAGGAGTGCTGAGTGCCTGTGTCTTCGGCCATCCTCAGTTGAAATGGAGATAGTTTGGCATTCATGAGGACTCGGTCCCCGATGTGCAGGCTGTCAAGGTTTGGGCTATTTGAGTTTATACATCTGAGAGGAGCTGAAAAGAATCTCAAAAGTCTGAAGGGCAGCAGCACTGCTGGGGAACCAGGAATGTCAGCACACAGCCCTAGAGTATACTTTGTATTGTCACTGGGAGGCAAATTGCAGCACTTCTCCATGTAACAATAGTTTCATGGGCCTTTTTTCACCATGGAAAAGGTTAGATGGTACCTTCAAGAGCTGAAGTTCCTTCTGAAGATGAGATGATCTGAGGCTGAGAGAGATTTTTCCTGCCATGCAGCCTGTTAATCTCTGTTAAAGTGTCAGCTTCATGCTGTATATCATGCTTTATTCATGCTATATAATAAAAACTTCAATTAAACTTCTTTCTGACAGCTCTGCCTCCTTTTAGCATTCTGTGCTGTATTAAAAAAAAATATGGTGGCAGGCCTACCCACAGCAATCAGCACAGCAGGAAAGAGGGACGTATGTTCCGGAGATGAAGAAATGAGAATGACCTTGTTGCAAAAACTCCTGGCCCGGGATTGCACAAGGCAGAGGAATTGAAGAATTTCTCAGCAGCTTTTTCTTTTTTTAGGTGCAGAAAGATTTATCTTTTGTTGTGAATCAACTTGAATCAGAGCCACTAGGCAACTGTTCATAGGCCAAGGTGGTGATATTTGAATTGGGATGGAGAATTTGGGCAAATGTCATGCCAAGGGTTCAGTTAGGAAGAGCTTACAAATGACTCAAAGTCCTACGGCTGTTCTTGTGAGATTTGGCTCCTCAGGACTACTCTGCCTGATTAATGAGTGCCTATAACTTTGGATTATGTGTTTCCTTTCAAAATGCTCGAGAAATCATTTCCTATTTGTCATCTTCCCCTGCATTGTCCTAGCATCTTCCACATCCCCTTTCACAAGGAAAATGTGACTTCTGCCAGCCACTGACTTACCTCTAGTCCAAGTGGCTCCCGACTCTTTGGTGGGTATGAAGTCCCTGAATGAAGCAGGCAGCTTCTGAGTTTACACAGTTGGCGTGGAGCTCAGAAATGTATTTATAGATTGTTCCAGCAGCCTTCAGCAGGCTTTAATCCTGAAACTGCTGAAACGGCTTCCACGCGAGTTCTCTCCATCTCCATTCATTATTAAACAGCACTAAAAGTTGGAGAAGGGAAATCATCAACTGTGTTGCGCCGGATCCTATAGACATTCCCGTTACTCTGCTCTGCATGCCTGCTCTAGTGTAGCAGACCACACATGTAGCACAGGATAACTTGCCAAAAACTCCCGGGACTTGACAAATGAATTTCATAGCTTAGCTACAAACATATGGTCGAATTCAGCCTGGTATGGCATGCAGGGCATCTGATGAAGGCTGGGGATGCTGGAGTGGTATGTTGAACAGAAGAGCCTAGCATTTCAGATTCCAGTTCAGTGATTTATTGCCCCCTAACCCCAAATATGTTCCTTGTTCTTAAGTCTCACTGTTTTCTCAATGCTTGTAGGATTACAGGGTCAAACAGCACCTCTGCACAGTCTCCATTTGCTTTTATGTGTAAGAATCAGATCAAAAACTTTACAATTTCTGGCATCTTTCTGTTTTTTACATAATTACTCCCTCCCCACTCCCCATAATGTAACTTCACTTCCAAACTGAGACTTGCCAAAGGAAGGACCTGCAGGAGTATGTCTCATGTCACTGCAAGATCCCAGCTCTGCAGGGAAATGGACAGTGTGCATTTTTGTTCCCAGAAGTAACAACATCCAAAACTGCACATTTTTATTTTGCTTATCTGCATTACACGGTCAAATCACTTCCAGCCCAAATAAGGAACTCAGTAAAACAGGGTAATGACTAAGGCTAGTGACAGTGTTCCTGTCTTACAGATCTAATAAAGACTTGAATGAAGAGGGGCCGAAAGCCTGTGAGAGTTAGATGACTTGCCAGAGCAAAAGGTGTCACCTGCCATCAGCCTTGTTACTCAGCTCAGTCCTGCCTCTCTCTCTATCTGCATCACAGGCTTTGCACAACATTCTGGCATCACTAAAAACCAGCTGGTTTGTACCTTAATTTTTCATTTCCTTCTGCTTATGGCTTTACCCACAGCATCAGCCTTACTGACAATTACCCTTGTGTCAGTACTGCTGTCACTGCACAGGTGTATGTGACTGTCACAGATGTTCCTGGGTCTGATTGTCCTTGCTGTATGTTCAAAGGCAGAGCTGTTTAAGCAGCTTCTTTTCCAGCTGGATTTTGAAGTTAACCAGGTGAAAAAGACTTGCATGGCCCACTGCACCTCAGCCAAGGGGAGCTGGAACTGAGCTGGGACCATGTTTGCCTGTCACTGCTGGAGTGATTCAAAAGGAGGGACTGGTTCAAATCTACCTTGAGGTGGCTTCAGTGATGAGGTTCACAGTGCTCTCACAGGTGAGAGGCTGCTCCTTGCTCTACTCTACCCACATTATGGAGATGGAAAGGCTTAAATTCACCCAGGAATCTGGTCTCCTCTGACCACAGGGTCTCAGCTGGTTTTCTGTCACAATAAGGGCTGACATAGAGATTCTGTGGCAATGGAGTGCATGCATGTTCTGTCTTTTAGGGCATGAGTTTCAGTGTAGGTGTAGGCTTACATGACCTGTAAACATGCCCTTATACAGTGACTCTCCTGCTGACATGCTCAACTTGCAGGCAGGATGGTTTACAGCTCTGCTTTCCTTTTTGGGCAGCTAGTTTTGCACAAGTGCACTTTTACATTCCAGGGTAATTTAAAGTAATATTTACTAAAAATGTGGCTTGTCCTTATGTTACCACTTCAACATACACACATGCTCATTCGCACTTTTAAAAAAGAGTCCGAGAAAAATGGAATATAAGCAATCTGCTGCCTTGCTGCTATAATGAAGCATCAAAAAAAGAGAAGGCCCAGCTGTTTAAATTCTGGAGTCTTCAGAGCCGTGAAGGATGGCAGCTCATGGGAACCAAGTGGTGTCTCATACTAACCTGCTTCTTTCAGGCATTGGGCTTGAGCCTGGCACTTGCACTTTCCATGGATTCACTGCAGGACAGCAAGGTTGGTAACTACCCTCAGTCACGTGTGTAGTACAGCATGATGACTGTTCTCAGCATTTTCCTTTACCTTTGGTGGGAGATTACAGATTTGCCTCTTCTATATGGTGCTTTTTTTGAAAATCACTATTTTATTTTTTCTTTTCTTTTTGAAAATCACCTTTTTTCTTAGGCAGTGACACTGCAGCACAGCATTGCAGATGCAGGGAACGGCCCTATGAAGATCATCTAGTCCTAACAGCTAGTGTCTTTTCTTTCAAAGCACAATGCAGGTGCTCTAGAAGTACAGAAAAATGGGGCTGCAAAACTGTTATGATTCCAGCATACCTCACTACTCATCCTGTGTTTCCAGTAGGGTAATGTGAGTTACAGCCTGCTCATTTTCCTTGGTCCCATTCTTTGCTAGTATGATCAGCAATCACACCCCTTTACTCTTTATTACTCTTCACACTCTTCTCCCATCCATTAGTATTTTCATTCATGCAGTATTTCAGAGTATTCTTGGTCTTTTACCAGCACAGGCTTTGAAAATCAAAGATAATTTTATTTAGATTGGCACACTGAAAGGCACCTGTTAAAAGCTAAGTCTCACTACATCTTGTAAATATAAAATATGTGAAAAAACTAGTAAGACCTTTCAAGATGGGAAAAATTTAAGTGCGTGTGTATTGAATGTACATATTAGATTTACCTGAAGTAGAGCATATATAGTATAAGTATATATTTCAGTCATAAATATATGTACAGATCCTAGAAGAATTAAATGGAAGTTCTGTATATAGTATTAGATATTTGAGAAATCTCTTCTTTCACCAGATCCTCTTCCTAGCTTCTTATTGTTTTATATTTGCAAAGTATCTAAGTCAAAATATGAGCTGATCCTGGATGGAAATGTACCCATCTTGTGCCTCAAGCTGGTGCCTCTTTGACAAGGAAGTTGCACATTTTGTATGTGCAAGAAAACAAATGTTTTTCTTTCTTCATGCCTGTCAGTTCTTACGTAGTTTGAATCTCTAGCTTCTGGCTGCCTTTAGAAGAAACATTAAATAAGACTTAAATGAGGTAGATTTATGGGCAAATTTCAGGTGTTAATGGTATAAAACTGATGATAAATCTAATTTATTGCATGCATCTGCAGTTTTACTGTGTGGTTATTACTATTTTATTTTCCAAGTGCAAAGCTTATTTTCCATTGCCCACGGGAATCCATTTTGTTGCTATTCTGACATGTGCAAATAAGCAGACTGATGTGCCGAGAGTGCTTTGCACTAAACAAAATTGGATAATCAGATATGACTGCAGTGTAT